GAGAGAGGGTTTAGCTCAAATTGAGGCAATAGTTGATTGGTTGCTTCCACATGTGCTGTCTAATGCCATTTTTTTAAACTCTACTTGTTTTCTAACTTGAGAAAAGCATGTAGCAAAAGAATAAGAAATACAAGTGGCAAATGCCTTTTTAAAAAGCTATTTAAATTGTGCATTTAAATGCATTTTAAAATATTTATTAATACACTTTTTATTGTTTGATCAATCAGCATTTTAAAACATGATTCAAATAAACATTTAGAAAGGGTTTTATTTAGTTGTACATTTAAAAGTTATTTATAAATGCATTAAATGACACAAATTAAATAAACACATTTAACTATGTCTAATTTTTGTCCATTATTTGTTAATTAAATTGTGATTTATTTTATACACAATTTAATGATTCAATTATTAAATTGATAATTTCAATCTTTCGATTTCTAATTGGCACTCCTGGTCCTCCATAGAAATAATCATGCCAGTTATAAACAATAATAGACAATGTTCTTTCACTAAACTAGCTTTTCATTTTACAAAGCTACACATTCGCTTGTGCAGACAGAACCAAGTACAACCCAGAATAGTTTTATATAAGTCCAAATCCAACGAACCACATTGGCTCACCTTTGTTTAACCTTTGTTCCAGTCATTATGTGCCTGCATAAAATACATTACAGAGTCAGAGTCATTTCTGCGTGATCTGTAACTTTAAAGGAATAGCTCTGAAAGTATGTATGACACAAGAGATATAGGAATAGGTCACTCAAATTTATAGTCTATGAAACAGTAAAAAAAGTCTCTTGTAGCTAAAGTTATAAGGAATTTTATAAAAAATGGCTTTGGTCATTAAACTTGTGCAGATTCCTACTCATTTGGAATAAGTTCTGATGTTCTATCTCCAAGTTCAAGAACATCAGAACAAGTTTATGTTTATGCATGTGTTGTGATTTTGGTTAAAAGCTCTCATTTTAACAAGTATAAAATAGGCAATTATTATTGCATGACAACTACACATCACACAATATATGAACATATTTTGATGATAACAGACATTGACTATTGTGTTCACATGGGAATTAATGTCATCAGCATTTTCATTGATCGTGCTGTCTCTGTAATCCTGTCTGCTCTCTATCGGAGACATCCACGGATCCTCCGTGGGTCATCCCTCCCGCCCCTCCCTGGTGGCCCTTACCATTTTTTGGGACGGATTCCCCGGCTGCACCCTGGCTTCCTGCCAGGTGCCTGACCCACAGACTCACCCTGATCTGGTCCTCCCATCCCTCCCTTTGTTCCTGCTCCGCTCTGCCCCCCCTCTGGGAACTTGTCTGGAAGCCGCTCTTTAGAGGGGGGGGTAATGTCACATCTGTCAGTGACCACCTGAGGGCGCTGTAGTTCAGTGGACACTGAGTGAAACTACAGCGCCCATAAAGACTACATTTCCATACATTCTTTCGTGCACACACCCGGTCTGTCATTTACATTGATTACAACCACAGCTGTCTCCATTCTCCGTGATTACCAGGACTATATATTCAGTCATTCAACCACAGTTTGTCATCGCGTCGTTTGTCTTTCTTGTAACCAGTAAGTCTGTATTTCCTAGTTGTTGTTCCTGATCCTGCCTCGTATCTTGCTTTAGTCTAGTTCATGTTTATCTGTCTTAGTTTCTTGTTTTGTTGTTTATTTGTTACTTTGCACTTTGATATTTTTGGATTTTTGTTCACTTTTTTTGCACTTTAATATATTAAAATCTGCACTTGAATCCGCTTTCTTTTGTTCCCGTTTTGTTGCTGTTTTGATCACGCCTAACGTGACACAGTACTGCAGTAAACCAGAGATGCAAAAAGTCCAGAATGAACTAAAACATTGTTAAAACATTCTGTGTGACTTCAGTGGTTTATCTGTAACCATTCAACACCTCAGAACACGTTTGTGTGCCAAAAAACCTCTGTAAAAATTACTTTGTTCACCTTTGCCTTTTCTTCTATGACAGTTCAGGGTGCGTGTTTACTTAGGGCAGAACAACATATTGCCATTAGACTCAGCAGCGTAACAAAAATGTGTATTTCAGTCGTAACCGCTCTCACTATATGTAATGTTTATTGCCATCTACTGCTAAACAAACATTTCAAATAAAAAAATATGCATGCTATGTTAATTCCATTTTTTTATTTGGCCATTTATTTAAAGGTAAAAATAGTTTTTAATATTAATATTTAGTTAGTAATTATTAATTTAACATTAGAAAAATGAATAAGCACAGTTTTGTAAGTTGTTTTGTTATCACAGGCCAAATTGATCGTAGTGTCATGTGCATGTTTGCGTGTGTGACTGAATTTATTGTTCACTGTGAATTTATAATGTAATTTTTGTTTGATTATATTAAAGGTGCAGTATGTAAGTTTCACACCCAGTGGTTGAACTAGGTGTTGCACACCTGTTTCAAAACACATGCAAGTGCAAGTTGCTAGATTGATGTCACTAACAGCAGTGTGTCTTACTATCGAGCCTAAAGACTGATTTAAATTGTGTTCTAAATAACAGCAACGGCACACGTTAAAAGGAATATTTTCCATATTAAAAGGAATTTTTTTTTTCTAAACAACACCTCAAATTTGTATTTTAGAAATGGCTTTTATTTCTTGCAGCTGAACAACATGAAACTATTGCAATTATCACCTCAGGTACACCTCTTGTGCTGTTGTGTTAAATGCTAATATTAATTTGTATTGCCATACTACTGAAAGCAGCAGCAGATCTTGAAAATAGAATAAATCGTTTGAAATGTAACTTTTAAACTTTGACTTATCTACATCTACATTTAATAATGTTAAATAGGTTTATTATGTATTAATTAATAGATCATTAACATTATTTAATGTACATGCTTATTCACTGACATCTGTTGTTTGCACTGGCTCACAGTTTTAAAGTTCAATTTCAAACAGTACATTTTATTTTCAAGATAATAAAGTTTATAATCTAAGTAGATAATAAACCATACCATTTCGTTGGTGTACAGTAAGTGCACTAGTCTTTGCTTCTGAATGGCTGTATTTAAAACAAGTCGTTTTCCATCTGGTCCAAACAGTCAAATTGCTTATCACTGGAAATCTCATCACGTAGTGTGTTGTTAGGACACAGGGTTACAATGTAACCTGCTCACCTAATGTTTATGCTTGTAATATTCATATTATTTGCTAATAAATAACCTCATGTGGAACTCTGAACCTGCGTCTCATTTTGTAGGCTGTTACTGTCCACTGGATGTCGCATTTCGATTGCGGACGTACACTTTGAAAGCCTTCCTGACTGACTGAATGAATGTTTTTTACTGAGGCAACCTGGGGTGCTAAAATATAATTGGCTAAACTGGCATTTGGTGGGTTAAACAAGCAAAACAAAGGCAACGGTTCTGGCACTTAACGCACATTTTTTAAGCAGAATAACTCACTTTAACATTGTTTTTTCATAATGCTCACTTCAGTGCTCACATTGTTTGTAATGTGTATGCGTAAACTTATTATGGGAGGTTTAGACTTTAGAAGAGTCAAAAACTTACATACAGCACCCTTAATACAGTTGTGATCACCAGCAATGCAGCACTCGCAGATCGCTGAAGAACACTCACTGTCAGTCACCTAAAATACATACCCCATTATACCCTGCCTTCACACACCAGTTTTAAATTCACCTTGATTATACACAGGTGACACACAGGGCATTATCATTAATTACTTGTACAATAAATACTTGTTAGTTAAAATAAATTACTTGTTAATGTTGCTACAATTCCAAGCGGTTTCTTAGCCAATCTGTGTTTTTAACTTTTTTTTATTGTTTATATGGGCCCAATCCCAATTTTACCCCTTAGACCTTAGATGGGGTAGGGGTGTCCTAATTTTCGTAGGGCTAAGGGGAAGGATTTTTTAGGACTACATTCGAAATCAAGGGGTACCATCTACAACGGCAGCATGGCTCCATATGGAAGACTAGAGATGCACAAATAAGTATTTTGGTATTATCAAGATTTTTTAAAACAAACAAGCATATGTTTTTATATATATTGATAACCGCCTTGGTGTTTTACCATCATGCTTAAAAAAAAAAAAGATCAACACTTGATGACATTAGAATAACTTGTCTGAAAAGTCCAGTGGCTGTAAATGAGCTTTTTTACAGTGTCCGGTATAATGTTAATGTTGTTTTCGTGCGTTTACATTGATGAATATGGCCACAGTGTAAACAGTACAGTTACAGTCTTTTTGCCACATTATATATTGCCTTCAGTGATTTTTTTGAAGATAAAAATTATACCAAAACAATAATAACTACAGCAGTCGCCAATCTCATATGAAGTAAGAGATCACGATGACATATGACGATGTGTGCAGGTGTTATAGTGCTTTCCCATTTCTTAGGGTAAAATTTGAAGCCCTTATGCTAGTTTTCAACTCTGCCTGTCTAACCATTCTCTCAAAATTGCGTTGAGATCCAACCCCCTGTCTTTATGTCTTCATTCACAACAAATACAGACCAATGAAAACTATAAAAAAGCATATTTTACATACATTTAAAACTATCACTGCCAGTAAAGAACTGTTTTTTTTTACTTCTTTGACCCTTCATATACAATAAAAAGAATATAGAGTCAATATAAACTGTCATTTTTCTTGATATCTTCATAAATGTTGACAGAACTGTCAATTCTGGCTGCTTCAAAGAGGCACAACAAAAACATTAGGTGAAAAGTGGGGTTTCCAGAGATTACAAAGCAGCAAAAGGAAATCAAATGAAAGAGTGATGAGGACTAAAAGAGGACAGGAGTGGTAAAAACGGTGACAGATGTCCTCTGAGACACAGCAGAGTGGCTTTCTGACCCTCGAATGCTCTGCAGCAGCTCATTAAACTTCATCCCCAGAGCCCTGAATAACAGCACTTTAACTGTGAATTTACAGTACAGTCTAGTGCATATAGTTTCTCTCAGAATCAGCAGGCTCGTGGTGTTTCTGTGAGATGCTTGGAAAGTACAGCAGAAAAACCTCCCTGTCTCTTCTGACAGCTGCTTGCTACGTGCACTGTATGCATATGTGCGTGTGCGAGGCGGGCTTTCGCTCATCCAGGGGCAGCAAACCAGAGGCAGACTGAACAGCGTGTGGACACTTCATCACCGTGGCTGGATGTTAGCACTCTCGCTTTCCTCCGTGGGACAAAGCTTGTCTGTATGTATGCTCTCTTACATCCCATTTCTTTCAGCGGCGCCTGTGATGAATGTATTTGAGATGGAGTGCTATGTGTGACATGTGTGGCATGAATGGGGACTTTAATCTTGTGTTAACGTCGGTGCGTTCAGCCGCATTAGGTAATCGGAAAAGTCTTTTGCATTTGAGAAATGTAAGCAGTTGTGGAAATGCTTCTGTGGTTTGTTTGCACTAGGGACTGTGTTTATTCTTGGGTAGGTGTTTGGTTTCCATGAGCGTGTGTTGGGAACTTGAGAGGGTTGTTACGGATGGGTGACACAAAAGGAGTGAGAAAAGAGGGATGAGGTGTGGAGAAGGAAAAAACTAAAAGGGGTTTCCTACTGTTTGTGTGTGGGTTTTTCATAAAGACAGCTGTTGTTGTTTTTTTTAGCCACTCAGACAGCTGATTACTGGAGAACAGCAGCAGAATAAGGAGGTGGCATCCTGTGTAAAGCCCAGTGAGAAGCATTTGCACCTTTGGAAGCATAATAGGAGTTGCAAAATGCATTTTGAAATGTGTAATATGCAAAATGGCAATGCAATATGTAAAGTAGCAATGCATTTCTTTATTTAAATTTGCATTCTCCATGGCACGTGCAAAGTTAGGCTGCAAAAGGAAAAAACAAATTACTAATACTAATTTTAATGCTTTTTAACTTGCAAAATTACATTGAAAATGTAATATTCACATTGAATTAATGTGTGTAAAGCAGAAATGGTAGAAAAGTCAAAATGTAATTTAATTAAATTATTTGCCTTAATTGCATTTAGCAATAGGAAAAGTAGGATTGCATTTGCAGCATTGCACCGTGGGTTGTTTGTAGCAAAATTCAATGTTTTATTCAAAACAGGCTTGGGCGGCAATACGGTAGTATGGTCAAAAAATAGCAATGGTATCAGTTTAGTACCGTTATACCACCATAAAAAACAATGCATTTATATATGGGACAATGATTAAATGTTAAATATAATTTGTTTAATGCCTAAAATGTGGTCCCAAGAGTTGCACACTATGTGACCAGGTCTCGAAAAAGAAAACAACTTTTGCAGTTTGGCAGTATTTCGGGTTTCGACTGAACGAGATAGGAGAAGCAATAAATACGGACAAGGCAATTTACAAAATGTGCAACAAAAAGGGTGACCGTGAGAGACGTAAATTTCTCGAACCTAAGGTCGCGTATATGGTATTCAGTTTCTGAATGTTTTAGGCCAGTGGTCACCAATCTCTTTCCTGGAGGTCCGGTGCCCTGGAGGGTTCAGCTCCAACATGCCTCAACACACCTGCCTGGGTGTTTCAAGTATACCTAGTAAGACCTTAATTAGCTTGTTCAGGTGTGTTTGATTAGGGTTGGAGCTAAAATCTGCAGGACACCTGACCTCCAAGAACAAGTTTGGGGATCCCTGAGTTTAGGCACAATTAGGCATACTTGTTTTGTAATGCACGATAATACCGCATAACGAGGTAATATAGGGAATCAAAATTTGGATCCCGCCCAAGCCTAATCCAAAATGCATTCTGAGCCAAAGTTATAGTAAAAGTGGAGGAGACAGAGAGAGGTGAGGGAAGATGGCGATTCGCGTGCAAGTGACCTGTTTTTTTTTTTTTTTTTTTTTTAAACACTTCTGCAGTTTGGCAGTATTTCTGGTAAATATGGACGAGGCGATTTGCAAATTGTGCAACAAAAACCTTAGATTGCATATACGGTATTCAGTTTCTGAATGGTTTTAAATGTTAATTGGCCTGTTGAATGCTGTGTTGCACACATGAATTCAATTTGGATATTGCATTTTCAGTCTAATTTTGCAACTTTAAATCATTATCAAATTAGTTTGTAATTTAGATTTTAAAACTGGTTGGAAATGGAAAATGTAAATTTTATATTTTCATTTTCATTTTGCACCACATTTTGGAAAATGCACAACATTGCCATTTGAAATATAGCATTTCCATTTTGTATATGGACCCTTTTCACATGACGTTTGACGGGCATCATAATCTTAAATCCTTGAAAGTTTTTAATATTTTGATTTAAAAAACAAAACAAAACAAAACAAAAAAACATGTAAATGCATTTATGTACAGTATGTACTATATCAAAAACATAAAAATCTATCAAAAACGAGTTATCGCTTATGTGAGGTGTTTCTAATGCAGCGTCTATGGGGCTGAAAGTAAATTTGACGTTATTCTCTTCTCTGGCTGCCGGCATCAGTCTCACACTATTTTTCCTTTTTCTGAAAGTCTTGATAACACCGTTGTGGTGTTTTTCTTTTATTATTTCAGCAAATAGGATTGTAAAAAAATATATTTGTTGTACTCTCCCATTGACTGCACTCTAAGTTTACCAAACTCTGATTACTTCCTTTACCGAGAAACCCAGAAATGTGAAAAGGGTCTATTACATTTCAAAGGGAATTTTGCTTCTCATGCTACACATGTGGAGGAAACACCCCAGACTGCAGGATTTAGATTTTGTGTTTGATGATGGATGTCTAGGTGTTGGAATGAAGCCGATGTGGCTTTTAATTTGTTTCCTTCAGATGGGTTATTATTAATCATTTTAACCTGAAATTGTAAGCAAATCAACTGAAGAAATTGTAAGTGAAAATATGCAAAAATGTGAGATTATGAAAAAGTGATCCACTGCTGTAGTGCAGTAGGAGTCATATTTCATATAAGCATGCTGTGGATATTTTGAATTTGAAACAAGTTATTGGTTTTGCAAGCAAATCAGGATCATGCAGAAGAGAAACAATGTTTTTCTGTGATTGGTAGAGCATTCACAATTAAAAAACATACTATACATTTCATAGAAAGTCGAATGTTTAAAAATGTCATTGTGCACTCTGTCCAAAGCTTTGTATCGTTCTAATATAAAAGTCATAATATATATATATATATTGTACGTATACATTTTTTTCGAGGTACTGTATGATACACTTTTCTGTGTTCTGAAATCTTGCTTAAATAACAATGTTACAATAAATTATACATTTACAAAAGGGCAGGGTACTACACATTTACAGTATATGGGTTTTATTTCATAAAGAATTATTAAACTACACAATTTAAAAATAATTTTAAAGACCACCTTAGACCCAGTGTTAAACAGAAATGTTACTGTGCATTAAAATGGCTATGGTTACTATACGTTTTAATGTATATACTATACGTATACGTATTTTAACATGCTATACTCATAGCTAATCTATAGGTCTAATCACATATACTGCATAGGGGTTGTATTTTATCCCTTTAGCCTTAAAGCAGTATTAAACACATTATTTCAACCCATTACTATGAACATTGTTTTGTTGAACAATCCTGATGTGTTTTTTCCTCACAAATGCAAGTTTATATCTCCTAATTAGGATTTTATAACTCAAATTAAGTGAATAAAGTGTGAGTTTGTCTACAGGGAAAAAGCCTCAAGTGTGATACTGTATATTTGTTCTGAGCCAAGGGGAAAGAAAGAGAGAGAGAGAGAGAGAGAGAATAATGAGTTGTTTTTCTTGATCGGTATTGTGAGAAATAATCTTTGAATAGCTAAAATGAAGTCAGAATTTAAAAAAATCTAAAATCAATTTCATATTTTCAAGACATACAAGGTGTGCATCCTGAAAGTTTACAAAGTGGTAATATCCTATTAAACAATTTGTAACTGCTTTAATTAAAAAAGAGAACTATTGTTTTAGTTATTATTTTATAGTAAATTAGAATAAAAAACAGCATTATTCACCTTTTAAAAATTTAAAACACCAAATATAGGCAGATCCCATTACGTTTTTGCCACTTATTTGCAATCAAATGGTGTATGGGGGGCATTCCAACTTCAAGATTGGAGTTTTAATTTATGAATTACAGGTATTTTAGTATATTTGTCAACACTCAACTTCTAAATGACCCAGGCATAGCTATTCTAAGGGAAAAGTTTTTCTTTCTTTTTTGTTTGTTTTGATAAATAATGATCTAGGCAGTCCAGAGTTTTGTAAAACATTTTTTTTTTTTGGAGATTAAACAAAAAGCAAGCCTATGATATAATATGATATGATATGATATGATATGATATGATATGATATGATATGATATGATATGATATGAAATGATATGATACGACACAATACAAATACAATATATGATATGATATGATATGATATAATATGATATGAAGTGATATGATACGATACGATATAAGATATGATATGATATGATATGAAATGATATGATACGATACGATATATGATATGATAGGATATGATATGATATGATATGATACGATATTATATGATATGATATGATACGATACCATATGATATGATATGTGATATGATACGATATTATATATGATATGATAAGATACAATATTATATATGATATGATATGATGATACGATATTAAATATGATATAAGATATGATATGATACGATATTATATATCATATCATATGATATGATATTATATTATATGATTTCATAAGAATTGTGTGTGCCTGTGGAAAACTTTGTGTAATTTACAATTGTTTACACAGTGAAAACCCTCAAAACACACAAACAATGGTGGCCTTTACAAATTGAAGTGAAGTGAGCCTTTGTGAAGTATGGCTCTACCCATACTCGAAATTGGTTTTCTGCTTTTAATCCATGTTTAATCCAAGTACCTACTCATTTTTGAGTGAAGAGTGAAAGCACAAACATACACCTGGAGCTATTGCTTCCAGCGCCCAGGGAGCAATTAGGGGTTAGGTGCCTTGCACAGGGTTCATTAACTCCGCCCACATTAAAATCCTGTTAGGACCAAGAATTGAATACTCACAGTGAAGTTCTTTTTTGTTCTTAAAGACTATAAAATGCCTTTGCAGAGATTATACTTTGAGAGAACATTTCAATGCTGAGAGCAGCTTGAGCATCAAAATGAATATGCATCAACTGAGGAGATTTCCACATCAAAGCAGGCGGAGCCGCAGAAAACCTCTTCGCATGAC